AGCATAGACTGATATAGGTGCACTCAGTAGATACTTAGAGAAGGTCTATTGCCATATGATAGCATAGACTGATATAGGTGTATTCAGTAGATACTTAGAGAAGGTCTATTGCCATATGATATAGCATATTATTATGCAGACTTTCATTTATGAGTTAATAGTTCACAAATACTATTTTTATAAATATTTAAATTTTGAAGGAAATTATCAACGAAGACTTATACAAAGATGAAGAAGACCTTGAAGAGAAGTTGGTACAATTTAAAGGTTAGATTACTTAAAAAGTTACTGACATCATGTTTTTTACCAGTGTTGTATAGTACGTTGTATGGACTCTTATCAAACACGACATGGTGCAATGACTGGTGTTGTATACGTTGTATGGACCCTTATCAAACAGGACATGGTGCAATGACTGCTGCATTTTTAACTGAGGATAAATGGCTTTGTTTTGCATTTGGCACAAAAAATTTTTGAAAAGGTGAAATTTTGAAATATATTTATTCAAATGACATGCCAAAATATATATATCTCAAAAGTAAGTATTCGTGGCATATTTTAAGTTTAACTGGACTGGAAGTTAGAATTTGTTACTACTCTAAATATCCAAACATATTTTAGTATGAGGTAGTAACCATATTATATCCTAACATTCGACAAACATATTTTCATTTGAAAGAATACAGGTGATTTTGGTTCTCAATTTGAAAAATATGAAATAATTAATAAAAAGACATGCTAATATTTTAACCATTTGAACCATTGACCAAGTCAACATAATTGCTCTTTGGTTACATGCTTGGCTCAAAATTGTTGAGAGATATATACAATCAATCTTGTGAGATTAATGACAAAAGTTGATTTTGAAAAAGTTTCTACTTAACAATGCAACCTTAACAAATTAAAAAAATAATGAAAAGAAAAATAAAGCCCAAACTAGATGCATCTGATGCATAACCTTTTCTCAAATATTTAGGCAGGAAAAAATATGGAATTCAAAATAATGTGTACTTTATTTTATTATGTTTTATTTCAGCTCAGTTCATGGAGTATGACAACGACCATTCAGGAGACTTAGGTGAGATAAAATATTGCTTTGCTTATTCAACTTTAATTTCAACTTTAATCAATGTGCTTTTTATCAAATACATTGAAAAAACATAACCAAAGTATAAATTTTGTGACAATTTAAAACATTGATGCACATTGATATTAGAGAACAAATTGACTTGGAAACTTATCAACCTATCTTCATTGATGTGTGAAAATTTATCCAGAGAAAAGTCCATTTTCCCTCTTTAACTTTTTTACCACCAGTCCCTTTTTCATGCAAATTCACATAACAGTCCCGTTTATAGTCTGAACTTTCTTTCAGAAGATTAGGACAAAAATAACCAAAATTTTTGAGTATAAACTCCAAAATTAGGGTTCAGTTTGTTGGTGAAAAGTTTGTTGGTTTATTCTGTGTAATCCTATAATTTTGAAGTTTGATTTTTTCCATTCAATGTTTAAAAATAAAATAGCAGTGACAGCAGTCAATTGATTATTGGAATCAAAGTGATGCAAAGATTCAAGAGAACTCAAAATATTGATCAATATCCCAATACCCCAATGTTTTTGTTCCAAATTATATTGTTGTCTAATATTATTATTGACTTACCGATAGGTTTGATGGACGTACAACTAATGATGGAGAAACTTGGCCAGCCAAAAAACCAGCTGGAGTTGAAAAAAATAATTGCTGAAGTAGATTTAAATAATTCAGGAACAATCTGTTATAGAGAGTTTGTGGTCATGATGCTTGGTAAAAAGTCTTCAATTCTGAAGATGTAAGTTAAATAATACCGTACTTCCCCAATCATAAGTCCACCCCTCTGTTTTTAGAAATTGAGGGCATCTCGAGAATAGGCCCAGGGTGCTTTTACCGGGCGTTGATGACATTTATTACAAATATGCATGTAAAAAGTGTATTTCATTGCATAAAAATCGTGATTGGTATGGTAGTTTGGTTCAATTTCAGAGTGCATGGCGGGCAAACGTACGGAACATGGTCCGCATCTTTTCTATTCTGTTATTTACTGAGAATTACTGATGTTGCAATACTCAAGTAATCCATATTTCGTTTGAGTAGTAGTTTTCGAAACGCCAAAGGTTGCTATGGTTGACCACAGACATGTTGCTATGGTTGACCACAGACATGTTGCTATGGTTGACCACAGACATGTTGCTATGGTTGACCACAGACATGTTGCCATGGTTGACCATGTTAGCCAACCATGGTCACTTGTGCCTGAGTGCACTATATGTACGGTTAATATAAAAAAATAGAACCTGTAGAAATTGCTTTCATTGATTTCCAATAAATAAACAAACAAAGAAGAAATGTTCTGTTGAATTCACATGAAAGATAAATTTGAAAATATTAACCCCTCAAATATTTTCATCTCTTCCTTCTTGTTCCAAATAGTTCAGCATATAATCCCCATATTTCTTTTTACAGAATCTTAATGTTTGAAAAAAAATCCAAGGAAGCTGAAAAACCGAAGGGAATTCCAGCAAAGAAGACATTTGATGATTTGCCCTGAACTCTGATGTCTACTAGCTGTGTACATATTATATTTAGCTGTCTCTCTGCCAAGAATTATTCAAAATTGATTTATTCTGTACTACAGGTGTTTTTATTTTTACATCCCACTACCCCACTCCAGACCCCCTCCCCCTCCAAGTAAATCTAGTTAACCTTTGAATGCCAAATTTTTCCACCGAAATCTTTTAATTTTTTTAAAATTTTTTTTATAATTTTGAATGAGTATGGATTAAAATAACAACAGTTCAT